GCAACAGATTTCCACTAAAACCTGTAAGAAAGTGCTGAAAAGCCAGACACGTGTTCCTTCCTTGGCTTTGTGCATCTGCCCAGAAATAAGTCAAGAGGGAGAACTTATTTTTTTTTATCATTTATATAGTTTAAATTTTAATAAGGAGCAACTATACCTGGTGAAACAACATGGAGAAGGGACCAGTAATTCTGTGTATTAGGATGATGCCTAACTCCAAGCCTGATATATATGCTCTGAATGCTTCTGGAATGAGTATTAATACTGATACAAAGATGACCGAGCAAGGCGTGGGGTCTAAGAAATGTAAGAGATTTCATTAGAACAGGTTAGAGATGAAGGCTGAAATTCTGGCCCCATTAATGTCCATGGTAAAACTTCTACAGACTCTACCTCCAGCAGGATGTTACCCATCTTCAAATGTAGCCAGAAGAGGTAGCAGAAAACGATTCTGAGGTTCTCTCTCCTTTTTTAGTTCCTGATCTTTGCAGTCAGCTTGTGGTCAGATGCTTGATGCAGAATTAGGAATTCTTTCTTTGCCCCGAGTGGCTTGCTTTTATCATCCTTCTCTGTTTATAGTAGGCAGCCTGCCTGCCCTGGCAAGTTGAACTAGACACGGATTTTGTTGAGAAGCAGGTGAAGATCACTTGTGCAGTCCCTTCTGGTGCCTGACATCCTCAGGCAGGAATCAAGTGCCTAAAGCCATGAAAGCTGTTTCTGCAGTGAATGTCTCAATGCCTCAATGCAGGCTATGTAGTTCCCTTTATTTATTTATTTATTTATTTATTTTTAAACGATGCTGGTGGCTTACCCTGGTATGCTCTGTTATATGCTTTTCTGTTTGACCATAGCTATATTGGTACAAAACTTTATGTGTGTAGTTTTAACATGGCACAGGATGCCACTGCTTAATTGTAACATGGTTTGTACTAATTTCCAAAATATTATTCTAGTTACAAACTCTGTATTTTTTCAGTATTTCTTTTTAGATTTAGGAGTGTGTTAATCCAGAACAGTCTCAGTGATACCATATGGAGAGGCAAAAAAAAGCATGTGTCTTCCAGTTGTGTTACCTTCCTCATAAAGGCTGGACTCGCTGGGTTTATGGTGAGGAAGGCTCACACTTGGTGAGCTGCAGAAAAGATTTTTAGTGGCTGCATTCTAAAACACAGCCCACCATTCTGCAGACATTCATGTTCTGCTCCTACATGTATGGCCTTGCATGGCTTCCAAGAGAAATGTTTCGTAAAATACAAGACTTAACTTAAACTTGGCTGTATATGCAAAGGAAAACCCATCAGAGGAAAACAGAAATACTGCCTCAAATCCAAGGAGCTTGAGACAGTAAGGTTTTTATCATTCATCTGAAGAAACTAGAGGGCATTCATGTTTAAGGTTTTCTCAAAAGCCAGCTCTGAACTTTCTTGGAAAGAATTCAGAAAGGTGGGACAAGCACCTTTCTGAATTTTCAGTGATTCCTTGCTCCTTTGCAGTGGGTGAACCTCTTAAAAACAAGCAAAACTCATATTCATCCAGTAGGGGTGCATACGTCCGTATAGTAAATACTAAGTAGCAATAGCTGAGCTCCCAAGAGGCCTGCCAACCACTGAGTGAAAAACCACTCATCTAATCCCTTAGGGGGTTTGTGGGGTTTATACCATAGCATAGCACAGCAGCGGGCATGTGCTGCTTAAATACTAGAGATCAACAGTCTCTGATCTTTGACTCCCTTGGCTGCATTGAGAAGTAGCACTTGAGGTAGGTTTTTGGAATCTCAGGGGAGAAAGCTGACAGGTGACAGGAGTGTCATCCTGAGGACTGGTGGGCAGAGCACCAGCTGGTGAGATCTGCGATGTCGCACGGGTGATCACGGCAACATGGACAGGAAAGGCTAAGGCCCTGAGCCTTGCAAAGAGGAGTGATAGCAGTGGAGGTACTTGTGGTTAGACTGCTGATGGACACAGGTAGTCCCTTAGGTGTCTTCACAGGGCTGGACACCAAGTTCAGCATGAGAGAACAGAGGAAAAAAAAAAATACATATATATGTGTATTATATAGCTTTTATTTTTTTAAGTGTTAGTGTAGATGAAAACAAGGAGAATTGAAGTCCTAGTTCCCGCTTAAAAATCTGAAGATTTCCCGGCTGTTCTATGAAAAGCAGTATAATTATCTTATTTTCATGGTGAAAAAATATCTCGAGGCAGGGAAATGCTTTTTTTGTGCTCTCCAACTTTTAGGATGTGCAGAAATAGGCGCCCTTCCATTAGGGGTAGGTGGGTGGGGGAGATGGCGGGATAACGGGCTGGCTCCGCACGGATGAGTAACGAGCGGATTCCTCTGCTGAGCCTGAGGTGCGATGCCTTGGCAGCGGCTCCTCGCCGTGGAGGCTGCGTTCATTTGTATTTGCCTACTCTGGGGCTTGCTTTCCCCACATCGCGTTGTCGGCTCCGTGCCGGGTGGCGCTCGGCGCAGGGGGAGCTTCCCTCCCTCAGCGGGCGCTGAGGGGGGCACAGGTGCGCGGCGGGCGGGGTGCTGCCGATTGCGATTTCAGGTCCCCTGGCTGCCCGCTAGCAGATGCAGGGCGCTGCTGGCTCTTCGCGGCGGTCCCAAGCAGCCGAGTCGGGGCTGGCGGGGCGCTTCTCCTCCTGCAACTCTCGGCGCCTCCGTGCCCGCAGCGGGGAGCGCGGGGCACAGGGGCAGCGACTCGGGGCGCCGCGGGTCGGCTGCTGCGGAGCCGGGCCCAGCCGAGCCGAGCCGAGCCGAGGCGGCTCCCCCGGGGCAGGGGCGCTGAGGCGAGGCCCGCCAAGAGTTAACGGCCGCTCCCCCGGGGCCGGGGCCGGGGCCGGGGCCGCCTCCCCCCGGCGGCGGTGCGCGGCGCTGGCTTCCCCCTTCCCTCCCTCGCCTTCCCGTTTTGGCAGGGGATTAAAGCAGCTCCCCCCTGTGGCAGCAGTGACCCAGAAACGAGTTTGATGCGCGGAGTCCTCCCTCCGTACCCAGTACAAACGTCAGTCAGAGGGAGCCTCTGTGTGTGTGTGTGTGTGTGTGTGTGCGCGGTGTGCCCGGCTCTGTGTGTGTGTGTGTGTGTGTGTGTGTGTGTGTGTGCGTGTGCCCGGGCGGCGCGGGAGCCGCTCTCCGCGCCCGCTGCCGGCGCCGCGCCGAACTCATGAGGCGGCCCCGAGCCCTCCGCGCAGGGGGAGCCCGGCCGCGCCGCGCCAGCCGCCCTCAGCGCCGCCGCCCCGCCGCCGCCGCCGCCAGCAGGTAACCGTGCCCGCCGCCCCGCGCCAGCCGGGGGAGCCGCCGGCTCAGCCATCTTTGATGGCTTTTTCCTCGCCGCTCCGCAGGCGGCGGGAGAGCAGCTCGGTGCCGAAGGTCGCTGCCTAGTGGAAATAAGCGAGTACGTCATTAACATGGCGCCAAGAGCCGCGCGGCTCGGCGCGGCGCGGCGCGGGGCGAGGGGAGGGAGGCGGCCGAGCGGCGGCTCCGCTATCCCACCACCAACTTGTGCCGGGCCGGGGCGCTGCGAGCCGGGAGGGGGCGGCCGGAGGGGGGCTGCCGGGCCGCCGGCCGCGGGGCGGGCGGCGCTGCGGGGGCGCCGGGGGAAGCCTCGGGGCGCCGGCGTGCGCGGCCCCCCGCGGGCGGCGGGGAGCGCCCGAGCCGCTCTGCGGGCGGATGGCAGCGGCGCCCGGCGAGGGGCGGGGGAGCCGCCGGCAGCGCCTGGCAGCGCGGCGCCCGCGCGTCCCGCAGCAGCGAGCGCGGGGGCCCGAGGCGGCTGCGGCTCGGCGCCGGGGCTGCCCCCCGGCCGCGCTGCTGGGCTGCGCTCGGGCGAAGCGAGGGAAAGCGCCTCGGGAGCGCGGAAACCGCTCGGGGGGGAAACGCAGCGCCAGCCGCCCGGCGGGGCGCAGGTGGCAGGTGGCCGCACGCCTGCGGGTCCCAGCCCCGCCGGGGCAGCGGGCAGCAGGTGCAGGCGCCGGGCACACACCCACGTGCGCGGGATGCCGGGGGCGGCTCGGCCACCCCGGGCGGGTCCCGCCGAGCAGCAGCGGGCAGCAGCGGGCAGCGCACCAACTTGGCGGGGCAGCCCCGGCGCTTGCTCCCCTCGCCCCGAGGAGACAAAGCCGCGCCTTGCCCGCGCAGGGGATGCTCGCGGGGCTCTCCCTGTTTTTAAATTATTTATTTATTTATTTACTTATTTTTTATTTCCCTGCCCCTCGGCGCCCGCCAGTTCGCTGCCGCTCCGTCGCGGGGCTGTCGTTATTTCGGGGAGGGAGGGCGGAGGCGCGGCGTGTTTGTTTGTTTGCACCGCCTGCTGGCTGCCTCCCTGTGACAAGAGGTGATACACAGTTTCCAGAACTGTCTGGGAGTGGGAGGAGAGACGGGCACGGAGAGGGAGCCCGAGCCGCCGCCGCCGCCGTGCCGCCGTCCCGGCCCCCCCCCCCCCCCCCGCCGCGGGGAGGCGGGGAAGGCGCCTCGGCCGCGCTCGGCAGCGCCGGGGCTGCGGGGGAGAGGGCGCGGGGCCGGGGGCACCAAGTTTGATTTGCAGCCGGCGCCCAGCCGATTGGTGGCGGCCGGCGGCGGGGAGGAGCGGCGGAGGGAGCCGGCGGCGGCAGGAGGAGGAGGAGGGGGGGGGCCGGGCCGGGCCGTCGCGAATGGGAGCGGGCGGCGGGGGCGGGGCCGCTGCCCCGGCGGGAGGCGGAGCCCGGGGCCGCCGCCGCCTCTCCCCGCTGGAGCCGGCGGTGGCGCGAGGAGCGCGGGGCGCGGCCGTTAACGGCCGGCGCGCGGCCCGGGCTGAGGCGGCCCCCGGGCAGCTGCGCCCCGCGGCGTGCCCGCGGGCTGAGCGGGTTGACCTGGCGGCCGGCGCCGTCCTCAGCCCCGGCTGCCTGGGAGCGCCCGCTGGCCGGGCTGCCCCTCCGGCGGCTGCTGGCGTGCGGGAGGGCACCGCGCCGCTCAGCATCGCGTTCCGGGGACATGTGAATCGTACCGCGGCAGTCCCGTTTGCTGCTCCTCACAGGAAGGTTGTACCGCGATGGGGAATAATCGCCTTTGGAAGCGGGCGCTGTCTGCCGAGGGAAGCAGAGGCTGCCCACGCTTGCAAAGCTGAAGCCTTCCTCCGAGTTACGCCAAAATACGCTTGTTATGCTTCTATTTCGAGAGGTTTCTCACACTCAGCGGGATATTGTTGAAACAGCGAGGGTTGTACGTTTTAGTGGTAGGATTTTCCCTCTGGCTGCAGATACCATTCACTCCTGTGTTTGAGCTCTGTGTAATACATATGTTTAAAATAAAATAATAATAATAAACCCCCCTTTCCCCTCACAGCTGCAGATTTCCCTTCTAGCTTCTCTGGTTTCATTCCCAATTCACAGAATAAAAAAAACTTGCAGTGTTTCCTCTAACGCTTTCTCCCTGTGGTTAGCCCTGCTTCTTGGCGCTGCTGTTTTCAGCTGGAGTTGTCCAAGCTGCCAGCTTTCTCTAGGTGGAAAAGACAAACTGGTGGGTGAGGGGTGGGTTGCATTCATTCACAGCGCCTGCTTCTCAAGGCTTCCAGTAGTCACATTCACCAGCAAAGTTTGGGAATAAGCTGCCCCTGGCCACGTCTTGAGGTGACGTTATGAACTGGCTTTGCACAGGTGCCTAAATGAGCACATGCATCCTCGAAACATGTGGCGCCAACACATCCACCTTGTGCTTCTGCCTTTCCTTGATACATTTTGAATAGGTGTGCTGAAATTAGTAGAAATAGACCTTGTGGAGAACACTCTTGGCCTTAAAATGTAGTTCTCTTGTTTTGCAAGGCTTGAGGCTTCGTCTCCAAATCTAACATCTGTGGCTTTTTGTGCCATGGCCTGTGCTACGTAGCGCAGGAGTATTTCATGTAAGTTAGGAACACGAACTCTTCTTTGTGACTACAAACTGTTGCTATCAAGGCTTTTATTGGTGCTGAAAAGGAGTTAAGAAGTTGTAGGTGGAGTTCAATAGTGTATCTTATTTTTGATGTAGCTCTGTTTTTTTCTTCTAGGCATAGATGAAAAAATTTTTTCTCTCCCTGTCTCATGTGTCAGTCGATGAAGACTGAGGTGTTACCATAAACCAGCTATTTAGGAGAGAACTGTAGCAGAAACCTAGTGTCTTCATCTACTGTTCATATGATTAAGGCCATGTTATGCTTCCCTGTGTACAATAACCGCTCTGAAACGAACTCTTGTGTACTGGAGGTAATTAGTGTCATTGCAGTTCGTGGGTTACTTGCAGGAGAAGCCAGTTTTTCAGTTTGTCTTCAGGGTGTACATCTGTCATAATTCTGCTTTCTTCCCATTCTGTCTCTGCAGCTGTTCAGTGTAGTTTATTATAGTGACACCCATTAACATGGCTACAGTTAATTGTCTGTCAGAGTTTGAATTATGAACTCTTTCTACCCAGACGTTTATATAGCCCTTAAAGATACTCTGGTAAGAATTGTGCTGAATAACATCTTTGACCTGCATCAGGAGATTTTTTCAAACATAGTTATATTAAAAAGTCTGATTCTGTTTCATTACTGGCATGACAAAGACTTTGACATGCTTCACATCTTTGTCTTTGACCATATATCTACTGGAGGTCAAACTGAGGGACAGAAGTCTGTGGTGTCCATGCCTGCTCAGTAAAAACATAAAAAGTTCTGTGGTGTCTTGCATGCAAGTGTGTGTGTGTGTATGTATATATATGCAGTACATGGGTGTATATACGTGTGGATGTGCATCTGCAATTTTATATGGGATAATGTCTGGATTTTTCCCAGGAAGCTAGGGAAAAGGATTCAGATTTTTTTTGTATGTGTGCAATCCCCATACTTCAGTAGTGGTGGAAAAATGGAAAGATTTTGGTATTGTCATCCAGCGTAACTTCTGTTGCTTGTTGGTTCTTTTAAATCAGTCTCTGGCTGAGGTAGGAAATGAGGAGTGCGTGCTGGTAACGCATTGCTGCACTGGGTCATGCCGCTGACTCTAACCCGCTGCACTCCCAGCCATGGCTGGGAGGTGGGCAGAAGTGCCTGTCCGCCTGGTTATTTGTGTAGAGTTAGATGTTTGTGGCTCACCTCCACAGGGGTATGTAAATCCAAATGTTACTTTGTGGGCTGGTATTGATTTTGGATTATCATCTGCTCATTTCATTTGTGCAGCATTTTACAGGCATCTTGAAAATGGTTTATTGCTCTCTCTGAAATACAGTAGCCAGAGGAAGCATTTCAGGCATTGTAATCTTGTCTTAAACATGAGCTGAGTAGCAATTTCACCTCTAAGTCCAGAGTTAGCTTTGTATGCTCAAAGTGTTCACCCAGTCAATGGGTAAAGCCCAGAGCTCGGCTCTCTGAGCTAGTGTGATGAACAAGGACGGAAAAAGCCACTGGTGCCACGTCTCTGGGGAGCATCGTGCCTTCAGCTGCCGGGGCGGTGCAGCAGAGCCCGTTGCAAGCTGTGCCGGCCTCACCAGTGCAGCCCTGCTGTGCCGGCTCATCTAGGGGTGCTCAGTGTCTAAAAAGTCACAGCTTCTGCCTCATCTGCATCATTTATTGCTGTGGTGTGATGGTGTGAAGCGCTCTTAGATGCTCTGTTCCCCCTCGGAGATGTAGTAACACAGACAGCAGAATCGCAGCTGTTTCTGTAAAACTGCGTTTGAAGGCTGGCATTTGCCAGAGTCCACTTCCCCCCCAGTAAATGGATAAATGGTACAGCAGAGTTCTCAGTAGAAATAACTGCTAGCGCGCTGAGTGTTGCTCTGCTCAATTGCTCGGTCTCTGGAAGGATGGTTTTAAAGGGAACAAACTATGATCTTGCCAGGAGGTGAAACTGAAACATTACACAAAAAGTTAGTAAGGCTCTCAGCTGTATTAGAACTGGCCTCTTAGGCAGATCCAAACTTTGCTCTGTGCGAGCGCTGTCACGAGCTGTGCCAGGAGCGCTCCCTCGTGCCTCTGTTAGAAGAAGAGGTAGAATCAGAGCAAAAATACTCACCTGAGGGCTCCATCTGAGGGCTTCTCTGTTATTTGGAATGGCAATGAGCCTCTGCTTATTTAAATGAAACAACTCTGCTCATCCCACTGGAATCGCCGGGTTACTGGGAATTTATGTGTGACTGAAAAGTTGGAGACTGTGTGGTTTGGGTGGTGCAGCAGCCTGCGTCAGGGCAGGGCTGCTGAGCTGCACTGCAGCTTACTCTGCAGGTGGACTCTGCGTGGGCACGTGCCCTGTTGGTGCTGGTGTGGGGGTTTGGGAGAAGCAGCGATGGACGTGTTAGTGATGGAAGATGCAGCGCTCAGAGGTGCTGCGTGGCTGGCTGCTGCTCGCCTCAGAGAAGCGTTCATTTTGAGAAGGGGCTTGAGAAGCGGTTCTGCGGCATGTGTGGATGGAGTGGATGTTTGGTGGAAACTCCTGGGCTAAACAGAAGTTACGCAGTTGCCTTCAATTTGGGGGAATTGAGCTCAGTAGCCTGGGTGGTCCCTTCCTGTCCTGCAAGTGTCACAGGCTGCATTGCATAGTTTTTATTGGAATGAGTCTAAGGCTTGGCTTAAATGGTTCACCCTTTTCGTGTGATCCTGCTCACAATGTGAATTCTCTCCACTTGCACACATAACGATCATAGCCAGTTTGTGCCGTTAAACCCAGTGTGCTACAGTCGGCCCCGAGGAGTTGCCTTTACTTCTGACCTGTTGGAGGTGGCTTACCTGCTTCTGTTTCAGATTATGTTTTATTGAGATCAGAGGTGAATCAGATGCACTATATTTGCACCTGAGTATATTAAGTGTATGTCAGAATATAGGCAGGTGAAAAACACCAGCAGGTTCATGACTGTCAGGGGTGAGAATTTCAAAGAGAAGTAGCACACAAGTCCCAGATTAGGAAAGGAAAGGGAATTAAATTGGCAGTTTACTGAAAAGTTTGTCAGATTTCCCATTCTGCCTTTTCCAGTATAAAAAGATCTTGGTTTTAGTTACAGATGTCCTATGAAGACTAAGTTACTATAGCTCTTCTTTTCAAGGTTAGAAAAAAGTTGCTTGAATTCCCAGTAACTTCTCAACACGCTGGCAGAAGCTGTGTGTGTGTGGTTGAACAGGGAAGGTCTGCACCTAGCCGCCACCGTCAGTAATCCGTGTTTATTTTTAATGCAGTCCTCGTGTGACTTGGAGGTCACTGCTAACTAACAGAAACCAGTGGCCTTTGGGGCAGAGGCACTGTGGTACCCTTACGAGTGTCAGCATTTCGGGCTGTGTGGCTTTAATTTGTATGGGCTGTTCCAGTGTTACCTTTGTAACATACAGTCTGAACTTAAGGTGTGAACATCTGGTGGGTGTTGTTTAAAAGGAATGGTTTAAAATTAGTTTAGAAGTCAAAAAAGCTGCTTATCACTTGTAGTAACAAAACTTTTAAGGGGTTAGGCGTACGAGGTTTGATGCTTGCTCCAAGCAGCCAAGTGCCACTTGGCGATTTATCTCCCTGTAAACTCAGGTTCAAAGGGAATAGGAATATGAGATCTCTGCATCACAACTCCTGGTTCGTGTGCATCTGTAAAAGAATGTCACATAAGCTCCACTGGATTGTGTAGTTCCGTTAGTGTTATTTTTGAAGGGACAGTCTTTTTGGTGTGGCTAACTTCAGCAACCTGACTAGAGCGGACAGGTAAGTTAACTGCGGTAGCTGATGTTCTGTACTTCGGGGAAGTAGCTGCGCTTCTGGCTTCCCTTGCTTCCTGGAGCTGCTGGAGGCTGACTAGCTGAGCTTTTAATGGCAGGGGTCGATACCATTCTTTCCTTTAAACAACAATAAAAAAAAGAAGTGTTTTATTATTTTATTTATTTTTTTTTAAGATACGTGGTGCAAAAGAGAGGCTTCTGGCCTTTATTTTATGGATTTGCAGAAGTATGGTTAGGAGAAGGTGGACTCAAAATACACTTGTCTGAAAAGATGCAGAGGGGCAGAATTTCAAATTTCCTTGTTCATCTCAAGCTTACGAGTGTGTCTCAGTGTATATAAGCGATGTAATCTTGCTTTAGGGTGTGTAATACTTTTCAGACCATGTGGGAATGAACCAAGAAGTGAGGATTTTGACCAGGAATATACAAGCTGTGTTTCTGAAATAACTTCATTTTTCTTTGTTTTCTTCCGTATTGTCTTTAGTTTGTTTTTAGGAGGTATTTCCACACTGAGTGAGTGTGCTCTTCAGTACTGAACAAAGCAAATACTAATATTCATTTTGGTTATGGGAAAAGTAATGTGAACTACTGGAAAAAGTACCTTAAGGAACAGGTATTTACCCCCGGGTTTTGGACTTATAACAGCTACCGGTCTGTTTTTCAGTTCTGTCTTAGCCTGTTTTGGATATGAAGGTTTTTTCTTTTTTTTTTTTTTTCTTTTGTTTCATTTTGTCTTTTATAAGTGACCACATGAAACTGGAAAAGTCTCTGGAACTAGCACACTTACATGTATACCAGAACTGTATTCAGGTGATTTTGATGGTCTGGGCTGGTGGTGTGTGTGTGTTTAATTGGCAACGTTTCTGTCTGTCATGCACAGAAAGTCCTGGTCCATGTCAAATCTGTTCTCGTAGAGAGAATTCTTTCTGCATTGGGAGAGGTGGCCTTTTCTGATTCCCTATTCTCCAGCATCAGAAATTATATCTGATCTTCCATGAAATGACAACAGCAGGTCTTTGTGAAATGAACCGTTCAGTGTACCTTTAGCGAGCAAAGTTTGCGGCCCAAAACTGGTACATGTGTCAATGGCAGCCGTAGTAAATCCTACTCTGGAAAGACAGCGTGTGTGAGAGACGTCCTCCCTCCTCCAGTTTGCGTGGATGTCAGAAAGGAGGGAATCTTGCAATACTCGGGCTCTTAAAACACACTAGAGTTCGCTGGAAGTGAAAAACAGTCTCAGGTTCAGTTGCTTATGCTCTCCTTTGAGACAGAAAGTTCATTTTATCATATCCAGGATGCTTATTTTTACATGGATTGCTTTTTGAAGAGAGGATTTTCATTTTTGGAAATAGAGTCAGAATTTGATTAGGCTTTTCTTCTTATTACTTTGGGAATTACTCTTAAAAGTTGAAAGCGTTCTTGTCAAGTTTACTACTGTGAGTCATGTTCTCATTGAACATAGTAGAAGCAGTTAACAGCTTACTGAAGGGGTCAATGAAAAGAATTTTGCTGAAAGGTTTCTGGGAGATCCCAGCTCACACGAAAAAGAGGAGGCTAGATTTTCTGCACCCATCTAGAAGCAAAGGTATTTTGGCACTTGATTTCAAGTCTGCACCCTGAAGGCACGTAGTAGGGCTTTGCTGCTAGCAGAACACCCAGGCCTTATTGATAGCATGATTGATAAGTAGTGAGCAAAGACTGGGGGTGTTTGATGTGCTATCCAGAGTCCTTGTCACTTTAACTTAGAGTGGATGTGCCTTTTTGCACTTGTCTTGTCATGGTTTTTCTGCTCTTCAACTCACACTTTTTTTTTCAGTAAGTTTTTATGTATAAATGCTGACGAGCTATTTACAGCTACCTTATTTTTTCCTGCATTTAGTTTCATTCCACAAAGAATACATGCAGAAATAGCAGCACCCTGTGAATAGCCAATAAAAAGATAAGGGACTTTTTGCCTTTACATCACTGGTTCGTGTGCAGTTGAACTCAGTATTGCTAGAATTCATCAGCACTGGCAGCTTGGAGGAGCTTCTGTGTAATCAAGTGTTGGTCTGATTCCTGAAAAGCAGTTAAGTGTTTAGGCAGGCCAGTGGAAATGTGCCTGCAGGAAGAAGTAACTGTCTTACATTAAAGGTGCTGCCTTCTAGGGCATAGATGATGCATGTCTAGTTAATCTGGGAAAGCTTGGCTTGCTACTGCTGATGTTTCTTTTTTTTTATGCAAATGGAAGACTTTAATCTTTGATTTTGTAAATCTGGCACTTTACACGGGAATAAAATTGTTCCAAAAGCATATTAGCCAAAGTAAATATTTACCGAAGCAGTAAAAATGTTATTGTGTTGCAAATCTAATGTCAGAATGGGTAGAGTAGTTAAGCTCATTTACTGCAGATATTTAGTGATTGTAAGACTTCTGAGAACAAAATATGCTTTTGTCTTAAGGTGAAAGTGTCGGTGGGGTTTTCATGACACCCTCCAGTTTTGTTCACCTGTTTGTATGATAACTGCCTAATTAAGCAGCCTTGAGGTACTCACTGTTCGTATTTCAGATGCTGTTTAAAGTTGTTTGTTTTCCTTTGTGTGCTGTAAATCCTCGAGTGCCATCAGAAACACAACTTGATGACTGTGTATTATTATCTTGGGTTAAGTGCTGTCTCATTGCTTTGCAGGCTGCCTGCTGTTTCCCGTGGAGATCATGAAACGACGTCGGCTTCCTAGCAGCAGTGAGGATTCTGACGACAATGGCAGTAAGTGCTCCTTTGTTGTAGAGTGCAGTAGGTTATGAGTTTGAAAACACATTTTAATGCAGTGTTTTATGTGATAGAGGCACTTTGCGAATTGGTTGGACTGGTGGAAATGTGTATCTGAAGAACCAGTTTTGAATTCTGTTGTTGTAAGCACAGGTGGATGGTAGGTTCAGGATCCCCCCTCCACTGTATTGACTGTACAGAGTTAATTAATAAGATAAAACAGGAGAAGTTGGTCTTCTTTTTCTCTCTTTACATCTTCAGTTGCAAGCAGCATAATTCATCAATAGAAGGACAGAACTTGGAGACATCTGCTAATGTTGTCCTCAGCTCAGTATTTTATACAAGTTTGTGTGAGGATTTTAAATTTTGCGCTGGTGTTCTCAGACCCTTCTATGTAATGGAAAGGTATAGTGCTTCAGACTTCAGCAGAAATGATTGTAGATGTGTAAAAGCTGTTTTTTCTTTTTGATTTTTTTTATTTGAAGATTATTTTACTTGAATTGAGAAATAACTTTGAACAATTTGAATCGAGTGCAACACCGATTCGTATACACATTTTCAACTGTTTCTGTAGTGACGTAACTAACACTGAGCTTTGTGTGATCTCTCCTGTGTTTGGGTTCCAGGGATTGATAAACTTTAATGTAAAAAAAAAAAAGATGGGGGGGGGGGGAAAGAAGAGATAAAATGGCAGATTGGGGAATATACCATGATGTTTTATCTAACCAAACAAGCAAGTTAATTGTAATTGACAACAGAGCAGCCTAGTCAGTTGTCAGAGATATTTTCAGCTTTAATCTGACCAATGTAGTTGCGCATCTTCAAATTCTGAAGTCTCTTGTGAGACTTCGGTCTGAAATGTTACAGGAGATGACTGGGGAGATCTTCTAGGTACTTTTGAAGGATTTGCTAAAGGAACATAGCCCTGCACTGTGGCCCTGCACAGGTGACTACTTCACCTGTATGCATTTCTGAGGAGCATCTGTGCTGCGTGGGAGTCTGCTCAGGTGGCTCTTAGAGTCAGATCTGCACCCTAAGCTAACCTTAGGCAAACCTTAGCTGAAATGAAGGAGCGGTAAAAGGATTGGCAGAGGTGGAAACTAGCAAGCTGATTAGGAGTTCATCCAAAGAAGGATTGAATAAAAACTATCAAAGATGTGTAGGATTTGGCCTGGATTTGGAGAACTGCCTGCAGTTGGGAGATTTGGGGGGGAAAAAGAGAAAACAACACACAGAAGAGCAAAAACCTACCGTGTTTTTTCTTGGTTAGACTATTTACTTGGGGTGATAAGAATTTAAATTGGTGTATTTCCTCAAAGGGGAAGTGTACTCCAAAACAAAGCTGTGTTTCTACTTGTGAAATAGACAAGTAGCAGCAAATATGATGTTATTCATTAGAATTTTGCGCTACCATTTTCTCATGCCCTCTCTAACAGGTTTTTGTAATAGTGTCTTGTTTTGCTAATAATAGTTATTTTCACTCTCCTTTTTTTTTTTTCTTTTTTCTCTTTGATCCCTTCGTGTGCCTTGTGTTTCAGGCTTTACCAAATACAATATGAAGCAGATAATCTTGGAGTTGAAATTCTGAAATAAATATAGTTGACTGATCTGTTACTGATTATAATACTTGTTTGTAATATCATTTGATATGTGACTGTCTGGAATAGAGCTGTTGACACATAGAGAGTTATGTTTTCTAAAAACCTTTATTTTCATCTGTTTCGTAGTTCAAGATCTAAGAAAATGAGATAAGAAAAAAAAATACTTGGCCTTTTATGATATCTCTAATTTAAAGCCTCATAAATATGAATAACTTTCTGTTGAATAAATTGCATGGCAAAAGTCAGTGACATTTTAAAAGTGTTTTCAAGTATTGTTTGAAACATATACCACTTCCCTTTCATTACACCTTTTTTTTTTTCTTGTCCTGATTCTGTTGTTTGCCCTTTTACTGTGAAATTGGTGGGCAAATTCAGATACAGGTTCCTGCATATATATTCATTCTGTTCCTACGTACATATTGATAAAGGTAAAAGTTAGCAATCAGAAGAAATGTTATCAGAAGATAATACTGTAGAGTCAGCTTCTCCAAGGCTTTTTGGCTTTTACACTTCCATGAGAACAATTTCTCACATGCAGGCCCTTTCCTTCCACTTCTCCTGTTTTAGGCTCTTGTCTTATAGGTTTTACTTTCATTTTATCTTTTCTTGTCTTCAGTGGAATTACTGGTTAATCTGACTATGTTAATTTCTGTGTAGAGATCTATTGCTACTCTGTCAGTAGTATCTCTAATTCACTGTACTGATGCTAGTGCAATGGAAGGTAAGCAAATTTTGTTGCCTAAAAAAAAAATCAAAGGCAAAAATTTCTCTGAATTTTTGGGCTCCTTTTTTGAAGCCATAACTTTCCTGCTAGCTATTTTTCTTTCTCAGAGATTGCAGAGAAAGAAAACAGTTAAATAGACTATTCAGAGCACTTCAAACAGCCGCCTTCAAATTGAAAAGTTGCAACTTTAATCAACATTTAGTTGGAGTCCTGTTGCCAGACATCTGCTTCCCTTCAGTCAGTAGCACCTCTTGACCCTCCAGTTTGCTTCTTTCGTTCCTGTCACACTGAACTCGATTGTCTTTTGGCTTAAAGTTCAGCACTGCTCTCCCTCATCTTGCAAGGTAAGGATTGGGACCTCCAGCAGTTGGATTTCTTCAGTTCTGAAGTTGAGTTTTCACACTGTGCCCTAGTAGACTGTGTGATCAGGCATCTTGGATTCATCATGAGCATCACAGGTTATGTGTTGTTGGAGTAGCCTGAATGATAATGCTTGTTTGGGGTAAACTGGTGCCACCTGGAAGATGCTTTGACATGCAGAAATACACATTTTATTTTGTTGAACTCAGGAACCTGAATATTTATAAGGCAATAGTAACTATACCACTAATAATGGAATTTATCTACAAAAGAAAGTAAACATACAGAGCTCTTTTTCCACTACGTCACTGTACTGAATGAGGTTCCTTGTGCCTACAAGAAAACAAACTTCAACCTGCAGGCACTAAAAATGTATTATACTGAAGATGTAAGCATATCTGAAGTTTTTCAGAGGAAGAAAAAATGCTCTATTTTTGTCATATGAAAGAAGGGTGAATGGTTAGTATTTAGGAGTGAAATAAGTCAAACCGGAGGGAAGCTTAACCAACATGGTTACGGTCCTGGAGCATTTTCTTACGTAAGGTATTTCAGTGTGGATAGGTTTATGTTATTTACAGCATTCTAAAAGCCTTGCAGCTTAAAGACAGTACCCTTGCTTTTCTCATCACTTCTTTTTTGTCCTCTGACTTGATTCTTTCCAATGCAAAATGCAGTCTCCAAGTCCTCCAACGTGTTTAGCTTATGTCCTTCAACCTAACTACTGCAAATCATTGAGCTGTGTCCCCTTAAAATCAGACTTCTACATCTACATTTAGACCTGAGACCAAAATAGCACAACTGGAGCAGTGAGCAAAAGTGTCAGTTAAAGTTGTGCACCTCAGTTCTGCAGTCAGGCCCTGGATATCTCAGTGTGTTCTCCGAGATTTCGTTTTCTGAAATTATAGGTCACTTTTGAACATTTTATCCATGAAATATAATTGAACAAAAAATGGCTGCAGGCATAGTTCTGGATTTTGAACTTTTGTCTAAATACAGAGGAATGGGATTGGGAGGGGCTTGGTGAAGGTTTTAAGATTATTGGCAGCTCAAAATAGTCCTTTTTTTTTTTCTTTTTTGACTACAGACAGCTTGCTAGTTTCTATCCCTTTCCAGATAATGTATTACAGCAACTATAATAGACGTTAATATTAGCCAGGCCCATCATAAAAGCCTGATGATGTACACATCTTCTTCAAAACCTGTATTAAGTAAATTAGTAATGTTTACCTCAAACTCAATTATGTCCTTATTATCTGCGTGGCTGGTCAGGGCTTTGATATTTTTAAAGTAATTTCTGTTGCTTTGTATTTTAGTTTGCTTCTCCATTTCAAAAGCTCCTCCTCTTTATGGTTCCAGGTCTTATTCTAATTAAGTGTTAGATACTGAAACTGTTTTGTTTTCCCTTCTTAGTGTTCAACCTGACATTTTAGCCTCATTTGTCTGCAAATCCTCAAATGTGGTTTGTGCTGAATAATCCATTTTGCTTTGTTTCCTGGAGTGATCAAGTTGTCCAGCGTTGTAGTTTCCATTTATAATTTCAGGGCATCCCTTCTGCACAGACTGCTGGGACACTTGGATGGATCACATTTGAGATGAGATTTGAAATTCAGACAGTTGAATTACAGGGAGCTTGGGTGAAATCCAGGCCCACCTTGATGTCAGTGGGAGTTTGGTTCCTCTTTTCCATGAGCAAGGAATTCAGCATGATTTTTTCTTGCTTTGCTTGCTCCCGCTCTGCCTTTTGTTTTTATTCTTGGAGGGTTTATCAATTCATCATACTTCTAAATGCAGAGTGTCTGAAAGAAAAACTGAAGAGGCTTTCAGATGAAAAATATTTCTAGGCTTGACAACATTTCACATGACTTCTAAGAAATGAAAGATTTAATACTTACAGATAGCCGAAGTTTTGTAATGTAGATGGCCCCCTAGTTTATCTTTGCTAAACAAATGTTACTTTAAGTGTAAGCATCTTGCCAATATCCATTGCTTTGACTGAATGACAGAGATCTTAGAAAGGGCTTTTCATCCCAGTGGACTCCCGTTGTGTTTGAGATGGATCCCCAAGTGCCATGCAGGGGTTGCTGAGTACATAACCTTAGCTGTGTACGTAATTTTTACCACAGAATTGTGGTCACTGCTGGCTTGAAAGGTGGCAATTACTTAGCAGAGCATGAAATGCTGTGCAGCACTTCACGAAAAGAAAGTGAACTACAACATCCCTTGTTTTTCAGTTGAACGGGTTGTGGATGAGGAGGGTGTTTAAGGAACGGCTGTAACGTAGTGGTAGTGCTCGGATTTGGACAGAGCAGCAA